TGTGACATTTTTGGCCTTTGGAAAAGGGTATATTGCTAAGTGGCCCAAGGACATTTTGACTTTTAGCCAAGAAACTGGCTACTTTTCTTTGGGGTCTTTTTACCCTAACTGCATCGCCAATTCCTACCTCCTATTCTTATCACACCATCCTCTGAAGAGGTTACCCAAATTGCTGATGGGGAATCAGGATCCAGATTGCTCTGGCTTCTATCATGCTGAACAGGGTCGCAGGGTGAGGCAATTGGACTATCCCTTCAATCGTCTATCTAAACGACTCCCAAATTGCATAACTCTTAACTGTAGGGAGAAAAGAAGATCCTTGACTGGTGCCCGGGAGATGCGAAGGAGAAGTAAAGACAAGAGTAGTTATCATTACAATTTCTAGACAGGGAACCAGAAAAAGGTCAGAACAGAGCAAATTTCAAATGTTCATATCAGAGCCCATTGGAGTTTCTTGACGAGAGCTTCCAAAGCATCCCTCTGTTGGGTTCCTCCTCATTTTTCTTTTGTCTGCCAAGGCTGTACTCAAGAGTGATGGACTCAGGATTTGTTTTCAGGCACTTTGATAGTGGATGGAGTGGCTAGAATCAATGTCAGTTCCCTCTCAAAGGCTTCTAGATGGGGGAGAAAAAAAATTTAGCCATCATTTTAGAACAATAGCTGCTTGTCTCCCTTAACTAGAGGTGGGCACTACAGTATTGCAGACCGAGATTTGAAGTCTTATATCTGAGCAGCACTTAGTGATTAGAAACAAAATCAATGAGAAATAATTGTTTAAATAGCATTTTATATGGATTTAAGTCTAATGTCTGGGAAGTGTAATCCCTTGAACTCTTAAAGAAATATACCGATCACTTTACTCTTTGGTTATACTTTTCTTTTGGGTGTTTAAGACCATACAGTTGGCCCAAATAAACCAATTTATTTTTACTCTTAAGGTTGTTTGAGGAACTGTTCCTCAGGGGTCACATGGGCATGGGAGGAGCCCCTGGCTCCTTTCTTTTCCAGTTCCATCTATGTGAAGATAAGTCAAAGTCCTGCTTGACCATGGCTGGCTTCATTTGGAAACGTGGAGGAAATGATTCCTCTGTGTTGAGCCTCCTCTTTGTAGACTGGACATTGGTTCAAGTCCATCTTGTCGGGTCTCCACGGCCTCCCTGAACAAGAGGACAGGTGACGCACCACAGTTACAGGACATTTTGAGAGATGCTCCATAGTCCCCTGGAACTTAGTTGACCTCAGAGGGCAAGGAGCAAAAACTGTCCTTTAAGTCCCTTTGACCAGATTAGTATAGGCCTCAAAGTATGGCCTTGACTAGATATATATATTTTGTTCCTTGGGTGACTAAACTATGACCTTCAAAATTTTAAGATTATGTGTATTTTTTTTTGTCTCATCCTTTATATATCATAACAAACCTATGAAGATCTTCATCTCTTGCTTAGGCTTTTTTGTTTTTCTATTTGGGAAAATACCTCCATTCCCATATCTTTTTAACATATTTTACATTCTCATTTTCTTTTTTAATAATTTATGAGACATAATAACATTAACGAATTTTCCATCTGTTTTGAGAATTCTTTTCCTGGGGATACTAAGCAATGTTTATTCCCTTCTAAGGTTCTAGTGTCAAACCAATGTTTGATTAAAGTTTTCCTGGGAAACCAATGAATTTACTGAGCTTACTTACAGAAATGACTGAGGCATTGCTGAGGTGTATGAGTGACTTGAGGGTATGCACGTTGGAAAGTCTTTACTCAGCATTTAAATTACTTTTCTTGATTCAGTTTGTTTGAATGTGAATGCCTGAAATTTCCTTATTTGTTCAACTCTGAGGGTGTAAAGTAAGAATAAGCCAGGGAAAGGAAGTACTTGTAGCCCATTAGTTGTTATTTATATGTTAGTATAAATGGATTAATTGGAAACACGCTGACTGGTAACTAAACAAGCTCTGGTAAGTAAACAAGCTCCATCTTTGGTGGAAAGTATAAAATTGCAGGGTGGGGATGGCCACTGGGGACAAAGAGGGTAGATAGATACTGCTCCATGCCTTTGCAAAGAGGTGGTCTCAGGCCCAGAGCCTGCAGAGAGAGGTCCCTGTTCCATTTTGGTGGCACTCCCATTCACGGTGTCTGCAGAGGACCTGTCAGAAGATACTGCCAGCTAATTGTTGTTTGTTTATTTTTAGGTATCCTGCAACATATTCAGAACTCTCCCTCCTAGTGACAGCAATGAATTTGATCCAGAAGAAGATGAACCCACCCTTGAGGCATCATGGCCACACTTACAGGTACTTCTAATTTCCATTTATGTCACAAAAGAAAAATCCATGAGCTCTCCCACTGATTAGCATGAGGATTCCTTGAAGGCCAGATTCTTCACCAAGAAACTGAATTAGCGTGCAGTAACAGCAAGTCGATACTTTAATGTTTCTTACCCCTGATAATTAGCATTAGAAAGATCGGAATAGTGACTGTCCGGGCACTTCTTTTGCCTGTGTGGGCAATGGTTCTTACTTCTTTACTGTAACTTCTTTTCCATCCTGCCCTGTGGGATTTCCAACAAGAACAGAACTATTTTCACATTAATATTTGTTGGATGTGATTAGGTCACAGTATGTACCTCATTTTTAGTAGTAGGTACCTCAGGAAGTTTGTATGCCTTACTTTGTGATACCCACAGGTGTGTTTAGTTACCTAGAAGGGCAAAGCCAGACTGCAGTTTCTTTTCCAGTGCTGTAAGAAAGACAAATAACTGAGAGAAAAAAAACTGGGATGAAGGCCTGTTTGTTCCTTCCACTCTGAGAAGGCTACAACTGTCCCATCGCTGCATGTGCCAGGGCAGGGCTACCACTGCATTTCCTTGACTGTCCAGGGCCATCTGTACTGTGTTTACCTACATTTTGGCCGGTCACTTTCCAGTTCCTTGTCCCCCTGCTGCCCTCTCTTGAGGGCATTGCCTCGGAAGAAGAAAACAGAGAAACTTGAATGTGTTGAATCCTAAAGCCATCTTTCCATTAAGTTCACATGTCCTCAGAGGCCAAGTGATAAGTAGTAGGAAGGAAAAACAGAATGGAAGAGAAGGAACAGAATAACCTTGTCCTTCTTCACCCCTTGGCAGAAACTATTGCATCTTTGTGGTTATTTACTAGTTGTCATTCTGAGGAGGGACTTGGTAAGGCCTAGAGAGAATCTAATAGTGTATTTTCCCCACTTAGAGTTTTTGACTTGCTTGCAGCTTGGCCTGGACTGCTTTGGCACCTCTAGGTTTTCCCTGGTGATAGGAGTGCTTTCCAAAGCTGTTTTCTGAGCATTGCCTTAGGCTTGTGATATATGTGGCTCTGCTACTAAAGCAAAGGTTGGGAAAACAGGGTAGTTAAAACATGGTGTTTGATTTCTTAGATCCTCCCTCCCTGCCTCCCTGCCTCCCCCCGCCCCAGAAAAGCTATCTGTACTGTAAGGAAATAGTAAGACTATTTGTGCTTTTCATATGTGTATCCTAGATGATAACCAAACTCAATAAAATAACACCACCCCCCAAATACACATTTTGAATGGTAGACTTCTTGTTAGGTCTTACTCTTTTTTAAAAAAAATATAATTTACTGAGAATTTCATACATGCATATAAGCTGTTTTGAGCAAATCCATGCCCACTCCCTCCCCTCCAATTCCTCCCGTATCTCCTTATCACTTTTTCCTGATAACTTCATGTACTCTTTCTTTTTCTATGATTTATTAACTTTTTTATGGGGCTTTTGGCTACTCTAACATTCCCCTCTCTGAAGAGGTAACCCTAATATCTTTTAAGGATTAGATAAAAGCTCCCAAATATTTTTGACATTTTTGGCCTTTGGAACGGAGTATGTTGCTAAGAAGCCCAAGGACACTGTGACTTTTAGCCAAGAAACTGGCTACTTTTCTTCGGGGTCTTTTTACTCTAACTGCCTAGCCAATTCCTAACTCCTAGTCTTATCACACCATCCTCTGAAGAGGTTACCTAACTTGTGGATAGGGAATCGACGCATACTGCTCTGGCTTCTTCCATGCTGAACAGGGACGCAGGGTGAGGCAATTGGGGTACCCTTTCAGTGGGTCTAGCTAAAAGACTCCCACATTGTATAACTCTTATCTCTAGGGGGAAAAGAAAGTCTTACTCTTAAAAAAAAAAAAATCTTTGGGGGTTGAAGAGATGACTCAGTTGTTAAGAGCATTGGCTGCTCTGGCAGAGGACCCAAGTTTGGTTCCCAGCTTGTACATGGCAGCTAACTTCAGTTCCAGGGGATCCAACATCCTCCTCTGACATTCACAGGCACTGCACAATACAGATGCACTTACATACGTGCAGGCAATACACTCATACATGTAAAGCAAAAATAATAAGATATTTAAAAATATAAAAATCTGTGACAATCTCATACATGTTTGTAATGAATTTTGACTGGTTTCACCCCCTTATCTTCTTATCTTCCTCCCTCTCTTGTGGAAACTTTTCCTCCCAACAGATCCCCTTCCTACTTTGATGTCTTTTTTTTGGTAATACGCTGAGTTTAATTATGGTTGCTTGCATGAGCATGGGTCACGGGGTTATTGGTGAGGAAAATGTCATGTCTATTCTTTTTTAAAAATACTTTGTTTTATTTTTTATGTTTTGTACATGAGTATATTGTCTGTATGTACGTAAGTGCACCTGTGTAATTCAGTATCCACAGAGTTAAGAAGATGATGTCAGGTCCCCTGGAATTGGCATTATAGACGATTGTTAGCCACCATGTGGGTGTTGGGAACTGAACCCAGTCCTCTGCAAGAGCAGACAGAGCCATCTCTCCAGCTGAGCCATCTGTCCAGCTCTCATGTCTGTTCATATATATATAACATTTTTATGAGTATGAGTGTATTGCCTGCATGTATGTGAGTGTACCCATGTTGTGCAATGCTGCAGAGGTCAGAAGAGGACTTCGGATTCCCCTGGAACTGGACTTAAGGACAGTTTGTAGCCACCATGTGGGTGCTGGGAATCAAACCCAGGTCTTCTGCAAGAACAGTCAATGCTCTTAACCACTGAGCCATCTCTCCAGCTGTTCATGTCTGTTCTTAATGCCTGGCACCAGTCAACTGAATTGAAATTTAGTCTAGAAGAAAAAATAATTTAGAAAAAAATTTTGTTTATTTTGATGTGTATGGGTGTTTTACCTTCATGTGTGTAAGTGCACACATGTCATCCAGTGCCCATGGAGTCCAGAAGAAGACGTCAGATCCCTTGGAACTGGAGTCACAGGTAGTTGTTAACTACCATGTGGATGCTAAGAATTGAACTCAGGTCCTCTAGGAAGGTAGACAGTGCTTTTAAACCACTGAACCATCTCTCCAGCTCCAGAAAAAGTAGTTTTAAAAATGAAGATAGTCTCCTTAAGAAAATTCTACATCTTATAGTGGGAAAGATGGAGAGACATGTGTTCAGTGTATTAATCTGTTTTCTTTACTACATCCCAATGAAGAGTTAGACCATTCTTGCCATTTGCAAAACCATTTTGAACACTTTTCTAGACATAAATTTCTTTGAAATTCATTAAAGGCCAACTCTATATTTCAGCTTAACTCCCTGTATTTGATGATTATAAAATATAGGACCAAATTAATTTCTTAAGCTATTAAACTATATTCTACCACCCAAACCCTACCTGCACTGCTTTGACTGTAGGAGTGGTAGCTGCTCATCTGAAACTAGAGCAGCAGTGAAGACTGGCAGTGAGACTTGACCCTTTTGGATATAGTCACAAATGATTACAAAACAGTCTGGCTCCATGTTGTCGGCATCTTGTTCAAGCCTGTAATCCTTCTGGTCTTTTCTTTAGCTCAGAGGGAAATAAGACTGAAAAAGGTTAGGTCAAATGAAAACTTACTTTTAAAAATCACAAACACCAGATATGGTGGTGCATGGCTATGATCCTAGCTCTTGGGAGATAGAGGCAGGAGAATCAGGAGTTTAAGGTCATCTTCAGCTATAGAATGTGTTCTGGGCCAGCCTAGGCTACATGAGACCCTGTCTTAAATAAAACAGGAAAACAAAACAAAAAAGCAAAAAATAGGAGCTGGTCTTCCTAGAAAAGGTGAGGCCAGAAGGATTGTTATTGGCCTTGATCTTCAGTTGCTTTGTGGATACCCTTGTACAGGCTCCAGATTTTCATCAAGAATCTTCTGTTTCCTTTGTATAGTCTTACTGCATAAATCAGTCACCTTTCTATTTTCACAAGTAGGTGGTTTTAACTAACACGAACACTCATTGAATGCACAAGAAATCTCTTTTAGTTGACAAGATGGGTCAGTGTGGAAAAGAACTTGCTCTACAAATATGGAGACTGAGTTTGCTCCATGGAACTTGTGGTGGAAGGGGAGAACTGATTCCTGAAAGTTGTACATACCCTTACACATGTACACACCATAACTATACATAATACACATACATACACACAAATATTAAAATTAAAAAAATCTTTATTCATGATAGATCATTGATGCTATAATCATCTGTCACTAAATTCAATATTTCATCTGACTTTTTCCTCCTTACAGTACTAGGGATGAATCTAGGGTCTTGGCACATGCTAGGCAAAGTGCTCTGCCAATGGTCTATATCCCTAGCCCTAGATTTTTGAAACAGTCTTCCCATGAAGTGCAGGCAGGCCTTACACTCACTGTGTAGTTCAAGTTGTTCTTCAGCTGGCCATCCTCCTGTCTCTGCCACCTGAGTGCTGGGATTATTTGTGTATCCTACCACATCTGTCTAATGGTTAACTTTTTAGTTATTCTAACAATTTTTTTTGACCAAAATATAGCATGTTATATCTATTCACTTTTGTGAGCTTTGTAATTAACAATATGCTTCCTCCTCTGGGCTATGTCTTAGAAGGGAGCAAAGTGCAGATATCCAAGAATAATAGAAAATGAGAAAATTCCATTGAGATGTGTTATTGGGTAGTTGGCCAGTTCTGTTACCAAGCTAGTTGACTTTTTCTGCAGAGCTCTCTTTTGTTTCTGTCTTGCACAAAATTACTGAGTACAACAAATGCTGATCTTTGGAGGTATTTAAAAATAGACAAAAGAGCCAGACATGGTGGTGCACACCTTTAATCCCAGCATTTGGGAGGCAGAGGCAGGCGGATCTCTGTGAGTTTGAGGCCAGTCTGGTCTACATAGTGACTTAGTGAGTTCCAGGCCAGCTGGGGCTACAGGGAGACCCTGTCTCAAAAAGACCCCCCCCACAAAAGAAAAAGACAAAAGACTATTAGGTC